GCTGAGATAATCCCCTGGACAGAGGAGCCTGGTGGGCTTCTGGGGTCCCTGGGGTTACAAAAAGTCAATAGGGATCACAAAGACACAACTAAGCGGCTGAGCATGCATGCACAATGCCCTAGAACTTTTGTCACTTGTGCTAAAGCAGCCCCTTTTTCTACAGCTGCATTGGTCACAATTCTCTGGAGAACACAATATACATAATCTTTATATGTATATACGCAAAGAGGGAGAGAAAAAGATTTATTTTAAGGAGTTGACTCACATGATTTTGAAGGCACAGGGTAAATTCAAAATCCACAGGGCAGGCCAGCAGGCTGGAGAACCAAAGAAGAGTTGATGTTACAGTTCTTGTCTGAAAGTGATCAGGTAACAGAATCCTCTCCTCCAGAGGAGTGCGGAGTAATCAAGTCTTTTTTCTATCAAAGCCTTCAACTGATTGAATGAGGCTCACCCACATTATAGAGGGTAATCTGCTTTACTCAAGTCTACTCATATAAATGCTAATCTCATCTAAGAAAAGTTTTCACAGAAGCATCTGAAATAATGTTGGACCAAATAACTGGGTACCTTGGCCTACATAGATTGACATGTAAAATTAACCCTTTCAATTTTCAAGTACCCCATAGCTTAGCAAATATAAATTAGTCACAATGAGTCCTGTCCATCAACCATACAGTCTGATCCGTGGTGATCCAGGACTACTTTTATTAAAACTATTCAGCAGATCTTTTCATTCCTCTCTGGACTTTTAAATTCACTATGCATCTACAGGAGAGCAGGACCTGGAAGGGAGTTACTGCCATCCTTGGCGTATACCCCCTCAGCCACCTCCCACACACATCCCCAAGCTCCAGACCTACCAGAAGTCCTGGCTAACTGTATAGGGTGATTCTATTTGTTACACAGAAGATGACACCATATGTTCTTCTCCTCTCCTGAATATGTGGAGAAGATTGAGTTGAATGAGTGACATGAAAATGTGGAGCAGCTTAATGGGATCATCACAAGAGGGTTTTGTTTGGTTTGCAGTGCTCTGAGTTGCCTTAATACACACTTAACCTCAAATATAAGGACCAGTATGAGTCTCACATCCAAATATAAACTGTTGGAATATCTGCTGACTTGGGTTGTTAAGGCATCTTTGCCATAAGGGTTTGAGACAAGTCCAGATGATTCCTTAAGGCCATCTATTGTCAGACAGAGTAAGAATTCTGAGATCCTTTATAACATTTCGCTCAAGCTCCTCAGTTTATAAATGATAAAACTTAATTTTTAAACTGATCTCTGCAAAGTCACTTGACGTTAGCAATGTTTTCCCACCCCACCAAATCACAGCTATCTACCCCACCTCGCTTTTCTGTTTTTACAGATCAGACAACAGCATGGGAGGTTAAAATCATCCTCTGGTATGTTTTGCCCGTATCTGTTACCGTGTTTATCTTTTCTGTGATGGGCTATTCCATGTACAGATATATCCATGTCGGCAAAGAGAAACACCCAGCAAATCTGGTGAGTGCTTACTGTGGTGAGAGGCACGATGACACAGCTTCAAGAAGATAGAAAAGGACGTTCTAGAACAGATACCATTCCTTTTATGGGCAGAGTGAGTTTCAAGTTGAAGAGTTGATGAGTTAAAAACACTTTCTGTACTAGGTTAGCTCATTAACGAAACTCAAGAGAAAGATTCCTCTACATTGAAAAAGACTTTATATTTACTGAACAGATTAGACTAGGTCTTGAGGTACACAGATAAATTGTTATGATCCATTCCCCTCCAGAGGCTTAAGTCTAGTTTGGAACTAGAATTTTTAAGTGATATGTGAAGACTAAGATGAAAGTGGGTTTACAAATCCATGGCTAATTCATCTCAATGTACGACAAAAACCACTGCAATGATGTAAAGTAATTAGCCTCCAACTAATAAAAATAAATGAAAAAAATAAATAAATAAATTAAATAAATTAAAAAAAAGAAAGAAAGTGGGTTCTCAGAACTCTTGAGGGTACAGGAAAGACAGTGACACGCTACCTGGAAGATCAGAAGGAATTTCATACCGGGGCTTGGTCATGAATGTTGAGAGAGAGTTGGGGCACCTACCACAGGCAGAAAAAATAGCAGAGTCAAAGGCAGGTGGATGTTTTGGAAACCACATAATAATGCTCCTGAAATAAGGTTCCTGAAAAGGAGCTATGAAAGAAGACTGAGGGAGTAAGGCCAAGTAATGGGAGAAAAATGCTATTCTAGGGACCTTGGGCCTCGTTGTGTTTGCAAAACTCTGTAGGATTTTGGGTTGGAATCTCAGAGTCAATATTGAGTTTTAGATACAACTGGATAGTGTTAAAGACAACTTTAAGGGGAGGAAGCCTAGAAACAAAAAAAAAAGCAGCCAGGAGGCTGTGAGAGTTGTCCAGGAGAGAGAGGATGAGAATCTGAAAGAGGAGAGTGGGAGATAAGGCTGGAGACAGATACGGAATGGAGACACGTTTAGGGGGAAAGTGGCCAGGACTTCATCACTCACAGCAAGGAGAAGCAAGAAGGTAGAAGAAGGAACAAACCTTATGCTTCTAGACCATGTACTGGAGGGTTCCCAAGGGCTGAGCATATTTTAACAAGCAAAAATTATTTCTTTGGGAATTATCAAAATACATGTTCATATGTACATGATACATACATGCATTTCTGTTCTGTTTTAAAACATTTCTATTAAATGGAAAAAAATAAAGAATATAAAATATATCATTAATAATTTTATGTTAATTTTATGTTGGAAAGACAATAATAGACTAAATAAATGAGTTGAGCTACATAAAATTAAAAAAAAAACCATTTCTATTGTTCTGCCTTCATTTAGGTTTCAGAGTTAGCTTTTTAATGAGATAGGGAGAGCTTTCCTAGGAGGAAAAGGCACAGGAGAACTGACCATGTGTGACTTTTTGAAACCAAAGCTTTCATGAAAGAATGATGTTGGAGTTCCTATTTTCTAGTTAAATGAAATCACATCAGAGGATGGACAATGAGAACTGGAATGTAATTCATGGTCAACAGTCTAAATTGGCACCATCCATGTATCCCCAGCAAAATATTAATCTTAAACAAGTTTTCTTCCATGATCTAGAGTTTCTCTATCTGCTATGAACTGGCAGGTGAATCTCTGATTTTGGCCCTATTATAGCACAGTATAGGGGGGCAGTTAGTTAAACCATCTCTAACCATGTGCTTACTTCCCTTTTTACACCTAGTTTTCATACCCTTCCACATTTCCTGTCCAGAGTATATGCAGAAAAGAGCTGATGGCCCAGAGGATGATTTATTGATAAATACATTTGAACTGTAATTAGGGCTTCCCTGGTGGTTCAGGTGGTAAAGAACCTGCCTGCAATGCAGGAGACCTGGGTTTGATCTCTGGGTCAGGAAGATCCCCTGGAGAAGGGAATGGCTACCCACTCCAATATTCTTGCCTGGAGAATCCCAGAGGAACCTGGCAGGCTACAGTCGATAAGGTCGCGAAGAGTTGGACACAACTGAGTGACTTTCACTTTCAAACTGTGATTAACAAAGGAATTTCAAAACCTCTATTTGTTTTCACCCCTCCTGACACAGCAGGAATTCTGATTTTACAGAATTTAAAAATGAGGCTCCAGAAATTAAACAACCCCCTGAATGTCCCGAGCCAATTAGAGGAAGGGGCAATCACACCCTGACCCTTGGATTAGATCGGGACCACCCAGGGAACCACTTTTCACTGCCATATGCATCTCGTGCATCTTGGGGCCCTTGGGTCCAGGTGAGGGAGGTGTCCTATATACTCCAAGCATAACTTTCACTTCCATGAATTGGTAGGTATAGGCCTTTAAAACTGTGTGGGGACAGTATAAATTCTAACTAACAGCTGCGTTTAATGTCTCTCTAAAGTGAAAAGGTGAGAACTGTTCTCTTTTCTCTTTTTAGGTTTTGATTTATGGAAATGAATTTGACAAAAGATTTTTTGTACCTACTGAAAAAATTGTGATTAACTTCATCACCCTCAATATTTTGGAAGATTCTAAAACTTCTCCCAAGGATATAAGTGTAATGGAGAAAAGCAGTGATGCATCAGACCTGAATGAGCCCATCGAGGACCAGGAACACCATTGGGAGGATGCAGAGGTGGAACACCTTGGTTACGTATCACATGTGATGGACATCATGTATGACCTTGAGAAAAGCTCCAGAGGGGCTTCCTTAACCCAGCAAGATCCACCCAGCAGATCAGTGCCTATGGGTAAAGCAGTCATTGAATATGAATATGATGTAAGAATTAGTGACACTTCTGTGGGGTCTAGAGGACAGGAGTTCAATTTGCAGGAGGAGGTGTCCCTCCAAGGAAAGATATTTGAGCAACAGGCAACTTCAGCAGACTTGGGTCCACAGACACTGCTGTATTCATATACCCCTCAGCTCAGAGACTTGGACCATCTGCGGCAGGAGCATGCGGACACAGAGGAGGGGCCAGCGGAAGAGCCATCCACCACGCTGGTTGATTGGGACCCTCAGACTGGCAAGCTGTGTATGCCTTCATTACCCAGCTTTCAACATGACCCAGAGGGATGTGGGCATCCTGAATCTGAGGGGGTCGGGGAGGAGGGCCTCTTATCTAGACTCTACCAGGATCGGTCTCCAGACAAGGCACCCGAAGAAAATGAAGCCTATCTCATGCAATTTATGGAAGAATGGGGATTATATATACAAATGGAAGACTAACCCTCAAATGTCCCTTTGCCAGACCTCTACTGTTAACAAAACGTCTGTCCAGAGAAGTGACCCAACAATAAAGTACCTGAGCTAGAAGTTTACTCAGATTTCTGTGTCAGTGAGAATCACTTATTGCTTTTATTTTCATAGCACTTGTTTAGTTCTGCCTCGTATGGGATTCAGGCACGCATGGGGGTCTCCCGCACTAGTGGTGGGCACCCGGAGGGGAGGGGCTGGCCCTCTTTGCACCCAGTAAATATTCAAAAATGTTGACCAAACTGGATACAGAATTTATTCAGGTGGGTATATGGTAGTCTTCTTATGTATGGTTTTCTAACACTCGTACGGTTTTTCCTGGGCCTTTACCAACTGTGAAAGTGTTAGTCACTCAGTCGTGTCCAATTCTTTGCAGCCCCATGGACTGTAGCCCGCCAGGCTCCTCTGTCCATGGAATTCTCCAGACATAATATTGGAGTGGGTAGCCATTCTCTTCTTCAGGGGGTCTTCCTGACCCAGGGATTGAACCCAGGTCTCCTGCATTGCAGGCAGATTCTTTATCATCTGAACCATCAGGGAAGCTGCTACCAAGTATATAGCACTGTAAAAAAACATTCCATGAAGAACATTCATTGTACAACTGCTACTTTTTTAGAATTTGGTTTGTTGCCCAAACGATGACATACTTAAAACTTGCAAATACCTCTAAGTGGGTGGGAAGTGGTCACATTTAAAGACCCAAATCCACTCTTTAGTCATAATAATCCACGTTCAGAGTGAAGGAATCAGGCAGAGATCTTGATGTCACATGATTTGGACTACATTAAGTGGATATATTAATACTTTAGGAGAAGTTCTGGAGTGTAAACATCAATTGTTGTTATTATTTTATACTCAGAAAATATTCTCTCAATAATTTAGTGGGGGCTTTTTAGTAGGGAATTAACCTAAAAGAAAATGTCACATTTTATAATAGAGTCTTACATTTATTTCTGGAAATGTGTTTTTCAAAAGATATTTAGGTAGTCTATAAACCAAAATATATTTAGTAGCTGAGTCAGTTACCATTCAGTTCAGTTCAGTTCAGTTCAGTCGCTCAGTGGTGTCCAAATCTTAATGACTGCATGGACTGCAGCATGCTAGGCTTTCCTATCCCTCACCAACTCCTGGAGCATGTTCTAACTCATGTCCATCAAGTCGGTGATGCCATCCAACCATCTCATCCTCCATTGTCCCCTTCTCCTCCTCCTTCAGTCTTTCCCATCATCAGGGTCTTTTCCAATGAGTCAGTTCTTTGCATCAAGTGGTCAAAGTATTGGACTTTCAGCTTCTGCATCAGTCCTTCCAGTTACCATTGTAATATTAAATATTCTATTTGAGTGGACAGTGCCTCAGAGACTTTTTGGAATTTATGTGAATGAATATCCCATAACTCCATAATCTTAAAATCAGTAAATGAAGACATACAAAGGAAATGTTGAGTTTATATGTAAGGGAGAGTGTATTAAAATTTTGACATAGTTTACTGTGGGAATTAAACTGTATCATAAAACAATACCAACTTTGTTAGATTCCAGTAACCATTCCCACCTCCTTCACTATTTGCCTAGAAAATAAAATTCAGTAGTAACACTGTGTTAAAATATGACAGAATCTGTTAAGTTGAACCATATAAAATTATTCATATTTGACCTGCAGAGACAATAATTTCCTATAATTTACCTTACTGTGTGTTTGTTTTAATCATGAACTCATGATCCATTGATGCTCTTTCAGGAAAACAGATACTATCCATATTTTCTTATTTATGTTCTTGGCACAGACAGACAACCCTGGATTCTGAAGTCATGGTCTTTTGAGATTGTCCACAAATCCAAACAGCTACTGATCTAGCGATTTAATTTAGAGCATAATTCTATTAACCAGAGTGTCCTGTTCTTCTCAATCTTTGTAAAAATGATGCTGCTAGTTTGAAGAACAAATGTATTATTAAGTAAATATGTAAGAGAGAGTGTATGAAAGGTTTGACATAATATACTGTGGGAACAAATGTATATCATAAAACAATACTATCCTAGTTAAATTCCACTAGCTATTCCCTTCTCCTTCACCATTTGCTTCAAAACAGACAGCCAGTTTTGAAGAACAAGTTTATTATTATTATAAAGGAAGTTCAGGAGTGGGAAAGAATGAGTTGTTATTAAGAGCAAAAAGAAAATAAAGTGATTGATGGTTGTTTGCTTTATTAATTTCATTCACAAAATACTTTATTGAGCATCTACTGTGTCCTATAACATGCTCATGTAGGGAGGATAACAACAACCTTAGGGTTATTTTAAGGATGAAAAAGCCTTAGGACATTTAAAGCACTTAGAACAGCGCCCAGCACATAGTGAGTACAATGTGTTTGTTATCATCAGTGAAAGTGTTAGTCGCTCAGTCGTGTCTGACTCTTTGCAATCCCCTGGACTGGGGCCCACCAGGCTCCTCTGTCCATGGAATTATCCAGGCAAGAATACTGGAAGGGGTTGCCATTTCCTTCTCCATGTTATCATTAGTTACTTCCAAAACATGTGCTTAGCATCAAGAAGACAAGCCATTTAGACATATGACTACTTTGATTCAAAGGCAGAGCTTGCCTCACTGTGTTTCTCTTACCTAAAAGTACAATAGTAATTTGCTTCCTACATTGTGCCTTCAGATTGAAATCCATCTGTGGTTTTGTAAGAGGGAATCTAATTCTGAGTTGCTTTTGCAGCTCTTGTCATTCTAAGCATATCAGAAGTATTGAGCCTTTGTAAAATTTTGTTTCTTCAGCACTTTGCAATACACACACACACACACACACACACACACATGTATACTCAAATGTGAGCATACAGTAGGCATGTCTTGTGGGGAAAGGCGGCACGTTCTTTGATGCGGTGCACCTGTGTGGTGGCAGCCATCATGCTTCCTGTTACCTCTGTGACCACAGCCTCAGCAACTCAGAGAAGCCGTCCTCTGGAGCCTCAGCAGATTCCATCCCTAGGACTGAAGTCCCAAGGGAGCTGGGAAGTTGAGTTTTCAGAATCTTGGACCAGCACTTTCATTCTTTCACCAGCTGTTCATCAGCTTTAGGATTTCACATAACCTCTTCTACATCAGATGGTCTTTCCTCATGAAAACACCTGCTGATGGCCCTATGTCCACACCCTCTAAATTCTAAACAACTGGGTGAATACAAACACCCTCACTACAAAGTGAGTGAGACCGAGGGCCAACACTGCACATGGAAAGGCAGTAGGTGAAGAGGGGCCTTTCCCCCTCAGCTTACAATGTGGACAATATCAGGTGCCCCCAGGCTGAACTCATCTCGGGGGAAATCGGTGCAGAGTAAAATTGCTAGTACAGCTCAGAGCACAAGTCTGTGCAGCATGGTAAATCTAATGAGAACATCAAACAGAGGGCTCCATCAGTGTGGATCGGTGCGCCTGGCTCATAAATCAAATTCTCTCTGGCCCACACATTACCGCCCCCATGTCTTGAGATGAATTTTTGCTAAATTATCTTGAGAAGAACTTTTTTTCTATTTCCTTTGTGATTCCCCACATTGTATCTTCCATAAATCTTCTATCTATGGTTTCTTTTTCAAAGACTTTGCTCAAAAACTTAGGCCTATAATTTTTAAATAAATAATGCAATAAATTAGGAGTTTCAGATTAACATACACACACTACTATATATAAAATAGACAACCAACAAGGACTCTGCAGCACAGGGAACTCTACTCAATATTCTGCATGGGAAAGGCATTCTGTATTCTACATGGGAAAGGCATCTGAAAAAGAATGGATACATGTGTATGCATAATTGACTCACCCTGCTGTACACCATGTTGTAAATCGACTATACCCCAATATAAAATAAAAGTTAAATTAAAAATAAATACATTAAAATTTTTAATTAAAAAAGAAGAGGTTGACTACACACAAATGACCAGCAAGGTACATTACTATTTAGTTTCAAGCATCCTATTAGCTAATTGCAGTTTTTCTCCCAAAAAAGAATCCTACTAAACTCTCTCATAACTTCTTTTCACTCACTCAAAAATATGTGTCTGTCTTAACTATACTTAGATTAACGTTATGAAGCACCAATCTTATTCAAACTAGAACTATTGAAACGACAGATGATGGATTATTTTTTCTGAACTTAACGCTTTAAAGTTTTTTTAGTCAAATAGCAACCAAAAGTTGGCGTTATTAAGAGCAACATGATGTGAATCCTTTAGAGATAACTGAACCTCTCCAAGATGTTTTTCCTGCAAATCACTGTCTCTGCAAAGTGGCTGGATGACTATTAGATGGTCATTTACCTTTCCTTTGAGGTGTTGGACTCTGTTGTACTTAATTTTGACCACTTTTCCTCTTAAAGTCTTTAAAATCTTCAGTGACAGGTCCTAGAAGGCCGTCTTGGCTTTTTTGGGTTTCTTTCATGTTTATCACTGATTTTCCTCCAGAATTGTTTGTCTGTAGCAGGAGCAAGATTTCTTTTCTACTTTACTAGTTTTAGACTTTAACAAATCTTTCAGTTGGTCTTCATTTCTGAAAGCCAGTAAAGATGTAGGGTTAAGATTCTGAGGACATTCCTTCATCCAAAGCTCCCTTCCTGGAGGGGTGAGGGCTGCGAGGTTGCACTGTGTTTATGCCGGTTGGAGGAGGCTTCCTCTGTCCTCAGGCAAGGCTGCCTCTCCTGGGTTCTCCTACAACTCTGTGTCTGGCACTTTGCTAAATTTGGAAGCAGATGAGGTATCTTCTCCTACTTCTCAACAGATTTCTTTTGGTATCTCAATCTGTCATTCTCTGGATTAAGTGGTGTTTGGAGGCTTCCCACCAATTCAGACGATGGACATATGGCTCGTGTTTGTGTTTTCACACCCAGTCCACTGAGACGATGAACACTGCTGGGGATAAATACCATCTGCCGTTCGCCTGTCCCTGAAACTGACTTCTGCGGGATGTATGATTTAGACACTGCTCTGAGAGGTCTCACAGAGTTAAGATAGTTAAGACAGTTTATTCTTCCTTCTCATGAAGTGCATTCTTCCCCAATCTGAAATTGATTTGAAATGCAGACCCTTCAGAACATTTGATGTGAGAATGGAAGTTTTTAATCCTAACTCCCTCCCACAAAGGAGGCATGGATATTGGATCTTCATTCAATTTGTCAAATATGTGCTTCTAAAAGAATCTGGCAGAATTTGAGAAACAAAGCGATATAGGGATTGTCAACTAAGAAAAATTAGAGAACCTAGAGATTA